TCGCGTATAATTCGTCCACCTAAGTATATTCCTTTCCTCTGCATTTCCGCCCTACCTCCACCCTCCCCTCTCGACTGCAACCATGGCGCTTCTTTAGTTCAGTGCTCATGATCCACTAATCAAAGGCGCAGCGCGCAGAGGCCATGGCCTCGGCCTTGCGCATCTACACGTCCGACGCGTCGTTCGCAAGGCGCAGGCCCATGAACTCGAGCTTGGCCGAGTCAAAGTCGCCCGTGTCGTCGCGCAGCGCGTCGAGGAGGCCGTGCACGGCGTCCTGGTGGAAGGAGGACGCTGCCGCCGACGACGACGACCTGCCGCCGGCGCCGCCCGAGTCGTCTGACGCGAAGGACGAGAGGCGCTGGCGCGACTCGTCGGCCGACAGCGACGTGTTGTAGTCGTCGTCGCCAAAGGCCGAGTCGAGGTCGGACGAGAGCGTCGAGAGGGACGACGCGCTGAGGGAGAGCGCCGAGAGGTTGTACAGCAGCGAGCGCTGGAGGATGGCCGGGTCTTCGTCGTCAAAGTCTTCGGCTTCGGGGTCGACGTAGGCGGTGCCGCGGCCGCGCGGGCCCAGCAGCTTGGTGTCGGGGTCGACGGGCTTGCCGTCGTGGGCGAGCGACGAGATGACTGTGCTTTCGGGCAGCTGAATGTTGTCGCTGACCGTCACCTCGGACGAGAGCACGGAACCTTCGCCGACCGAGGCCTTCTTGCCGACGACGGTCGAGTGGCCGAGGATCGATCGCCTGACGACGGCGCCGTCGGCGATGATGGCATCGTCCCAGATGAGGCTGTCCTCGATGGTCACGTTGACGCCAATGGTGCACCGCCTGCCGATGATGCTGCCGCTGACTGTGCTGCCTGATCCGACAATGGTGTTCTTGCCAAAGATGGCGTTGGACACGCGGCTGCTCAGCGCAAACTCGACGCCGTCTTCCGCCGACACGCCGTGCTTGCGCATCTGGTAGCTCTGTCCGGGCAGGACGTTGCAGTCGGGGATGAATGGGAAGGTCCAGCGGCCCAGGACGTCTCTGCTGATGGCCTCGTACATTTGCAGGTTGCTGGCGCGCGCCGCGTAGCCGTCCTCCAAGATGTCGGCGTAGATGGCCTTTCCGTTCAGCTCCCAGTCCTTGAGCACACCGTGCAGGAAATTCCTCCTCGGCAGCTCGTAGTCGAAACTCTCTGACCACAGCGCCAGCACCTCGGGGGTGCAAATGTCGATCTGGGCGTCGATAAAGTCGGAGCGGACCTCGAAATCGGCCGACAGCTCGTCAATGATGGTCGGATCGAGCGTCATGTAGTGGTCGCTCTGGAGGGGGTGCGACTCGTCGTAGTGAAGACATCTCCTCGTCTTGGAGTCGATGACAAATGTTGGTGTGATGCCGTTGGCCTTTGTCCTGTGTTCGTCGTCACCACCGGAGCGCAGCACAACGGTCATGATGTTGGTGGCCGAGGCCTCCTTCCGCGCCTTGTGCCCCGTCAAGGCCTTTTCGAGAGAAATGTTGGACACGAGGTCGCCGTGGACCAGCACAAAGTCGCCGTCAATGTACCCGCGGCCGTCGAGGTCACGGAGGAAGTCGCCGACGGAACGGGCATCGGACACGCGGATGAAGGAGAGGTTGGCAAAGGGGCTCTTGTCGGAGGAGGTGGACCAGCGCGAGCGGTTGATGTAGTCCTCGAGCTGCTCGCCGTGGGCTCCGGGGTATATGTGCACCTCCTGGACGCCGTTCATGGCCAGGAACTCGAGGGTGTACTCGATGAGGGGCGTGTTGGCGAGGGGTAGAAGGCACTGCGGGCGGGGACCTGGTCAGCGTCGCAAAGGGTCAAGATTCGACAGACGGCTTACTCTCGGCTGGTCGATCGTGAGCGGGTGAAACCTGTCCTGGAACGAGTCGGCAATGACCTGGGGTTGGGCGGGCGCATTAGCATCATGATCTGGATTTCGACCTTGTTGCCCCACCATGGAGCGGTACTCACCACAGCCTGGAGCACATCCTCGCGCTTGCCCTCGCCGGCCTTGGCGGGCTTCTTGCCCTGCTTGCCCTTTTGCTGCGACATGAGCGGTCTTCAGCGGTCGATCGTAGAGTTTGGGTGCTGGTGATGCCGACAGACCGGTAGTTTGGGCGCGGGTTGGTGGTCTGAAGACGCAAAAGTTGACTTGTGAGTCAATGGAGCTGTTGGCCGTCGGGGCCGTGCGTCAGAGGCTTCTCGGTGGGGTCGGTGTGTTGGTCGGTGTAGGTGGCCACTGCCCAGTGCACCTACTTATCGTTACCTACCTTGGGTACCTTAGGTACCTTCATTAGGTACCTTCCTTAGGTACATTCACCTTTTCCATCAGCAATGCGTACAGGATTCTAGGGTCGCTCGCTCATCAGTCATGGTCTGTTTCCTTGCATCCAATTTGCATGACTGCCGATAGCTGAGATCCTCAAGCAGATCCTCAAGCAGATCCCCAAGCAGATCCTCAAGCATGGGTCCAGTAGCCGATACTTTCAGCCTTCCCAGACCACCGTCAGCGATCCTGAGAGCTTGGCCTGGCGAGCATGAAGAACGCAGCACAATATGATTCCTCGCCTCTGTCTTACAATGCCTTTCAATGCCCCTGTCATCTCATCATCAATCCAGTGCCTTCACGAGCGCTAACATGCGTCAGTGGTCAGGCCCATGAGGATTAAGCTTTTGACAGCTCGCTTTCGACAGTTACTTTCGACAGCTCGCTTCCGGTCCAATATTTCACCATGTGCACTCCGCAAGGGGATGGTACGGCCAGGTCTGTCTACCTAGGCCACACGTGGGAACCTTGATTTCGTACAGGGGTTCCATCTGTAATTCGAGCTCATCTTTCCAGTTGGTCCAGGTTGCCATCCGTCATCCAACGACTCGTTGCCTCGGACGATGCAGTTTACGATTGCCATCCCCTCAGTACGAGGACGCCGTTAGTATTAGCTGAGGTAGGTCCTGGATATGGGCGCTGTTCGCTTGGTGGTTTCGAATCAGGTATTGATTGCGCTCACATCACTAGGTGCAGCCGACGACAAACAGACACCGCCAGATCCTGCTTTGGCATGCCTGCTCGCCAGAATGATAGCACACTTATACGGCCTGCGAAACTCCAGACGAGACTTTCGCTCTCTCTCAACGCACTGCAGTACGCGACGTCAATTTGTTTCGCGCCGAGCTCGAATTTATGCCGTCCACCCAAACTCTAGCACGATCAATGGCCAGCCTGAAGCCACGGCTAACCTTCCCAAGATCCCAGGAAGCTCAGCGTGGCTTGTCATTCGGCCTAGCCTTTTAGGCCCGGCCCATCGAACAAACACCAAAGCATGGCGCTTGGCGAGATTCTGTCCTGACAGTTCGTATGATGCAACCATGCATAAGAGCTTCGGAAAGGCCAGGCCTCGACCGCCCGACTGCCTTCTCACGATCGCGAGGGGGCCTAGACTGATGAACCAAAGGGAGGTTGATCAGCAGGTGTGCATGGGGGAACCAAAGCGCAGCCCAGACTGCCGAAAGATACGCCGACATGGTACAAGATTGAGGTGACATCGTGATGCGAGGGCCTGGCTCCCCCATCTCGGCGTACAAGTAACACCCTGTTTGCGCAGTCAAGGGAGCGTGGTAGTGCTGCGAGGACCTGTTTGGGAGAAGACCGGCAAGTCAGAATGGCCGTCCTGCTCCCTATGGCACATGGACCATGCAGACGGGCGAGCGCGTCACACGCATCAGAGCTTCCTCGCCTGGGTGAGAACTGCAACACGTCTTGGCACCCTTGCGCGGCCATCTGCAGGGACGGCTCGAGTCCAGCCCAAAACGCCAGCGCCATCACGATCGAAGTGCCTTCCGCATAGAGCGAAACTCTGCGTGAAATAGACCACTCCAGCCCCGCGACTGTGACCCCTCAGACGAGGCACCTGCACCTCGTCCCGCCAAACTGCACGCAAACATGTGGCGGCGTTCTCGGCCAGGCCTTCGGACACAGGCCGACAAAGGGCTGAATGGGCCGGATCCTCCGGGTGTCGCGCGCTCGAAAGAGGCAGCATAATCCGAGAGCCAACCGCGAGCAAAATAACACACTGATGATGAGTTGTTACCCTGGGGAAAATTGCCCACCTCACGTTCGCTGGGCAGGTCAGGTACCTGCGAAGGAGGGCGAGGTGAGATCACGCAGGACCAGTCAGACATGGCCGATCTGCCCTCCACTTCCGTACATATCGATATCTCCAAAAGACGTACAATTTTTGCCCATCTCGATCCTGCCACGTTCTCCCACACACACATTCTCTCCGGATCAGCCCTACCACGTTGGTACATGTCCATGTATTCAACACCAAATACGGACCGGGCTCCGCACCTATGACGAGAGCCATTCGCCCCCATTTTCCCATCCCCCATCATCAAAGCTGTGGCAGATACGTCATGGAAAAGACTCCAGAAAAGATCTCCCGTTTCTCCGGCAGAGAGATGGGTAAGCCTCCCCTCTATTCGCTGAAGGGGGGGGGAAACATCTCAGAACTCCAGGGGTCTGGGCCCCGGCGACTCAAAATCAGCCCACCCGGCCGCACAGCCGGGTCCAGACCGGTCTCGAAGGCGGGACCCGTCGCACGCGCCCCTCCTGCTTGCTCCCTTTGCCCATTCTCAATCGACACTGACAGGGCCCCAGACTGAAGTCCCCAGCCCAGCACAACGGTGTCCCGGCCAAGGATCCCCAGGGGGTCCGTAGTGTCCGAGAGCACGTACAGCGCATTCCGTCTTTGTCACCGCTGACATCAGGTTCAGAGAGCTTGAACGACGGGAACGGACCCTGCCAGGCCGCCAGCAAGGTCATACTTTGGGGGATCAGAGAAGAAGACGAGAAGAAAAGCAAAACACAGTTGCAGCTCCCTTGGGGCCTGGGCCATGCATGGCACGCACGGGGTGGATGAACAGGGCGCACACAGGCTCCTCCATCGGGGCGATGGACCTGATGTCCGCTGCCACGACGGCCGCCCGCGTCGATATTAATATCTTGAACGGTAAAACCAACACACACCCCCTTCCGTTTCCCAGCACAGAGGTCCCGCTCCCCTGGAACGGCTGCGGCGCTCAAGATAAAGGGCGTTAGGCCTTCTGTCTTGCCTCTCTCTCTCTCACACACACATTGACCCTCCCAGCTTGACCCAGCTCGACCTTCCCAGTCCAGCCTGTCCATACCAAGCCGTCTCCGCTCCCCTCCCCGAGAAACAAGGTTGGTAGTACAGACCAGGGCGCGCATGGACGAGCGTCACGTCCCGAGAGACAGGGCAAGGCAGGCACGGGGTCCAGGCAAGCCAAGGTGACACTCGGTATGTACCGGCCGTACGATGGCCCATGGCTTGGGCGGGGCCCTTTTGTTTTCTCGAAATCCGATCACACACACACACACATGCACGCCTCTCTCCCTCTCCATCTCCGTCACTCCGTACCCCCCTATCTCCCCTTGTCGACCAAGACCCAGGCCCCATCCCCAGGCGCTCGGGGCCTGGATTATCCCGTCTGGGGTACTTTAACCTCGCAAGTCCTCCTCTCTGTCCCCCCCCCCCACACCTTTTCTCCCTTCCCTCTGTTTCTCAGACATGCCATTTCCCCCCCTTCCCCACCGGAACAGAGTCGAGACACTGAAGGGGAGGACACGAATCGAAAGACAACAATCCAGATCGACGGCCGTGTGGGAATGACTTTCCATTTTGTTTTCAGTGGTTTCGGATATCCCAAGTCGGGTCCTTCACGTGCTGGGTGCCCGGGCTGGGAGCCGCCATGCTGACTCACACGTTCATAACGACCACTCATCGACTAACACGGCTGACACGACTAACACGGCTGACACGACGACCAGCACGTCCATTCGCATAGGCCCAAGATGAGAGCTTGCCCTTTATTGACATTCTAGCTCCGCTGACACGCGTGCGTAACAAGAGGAGGAGGAAGAGGGGGAAAAAAAGAGGAGATTGTGGGAATTCCAGTCAACCCTCGTGATCAACGTCTCTCCCCCCGCCCAAGGGCCGCGCACATGCGATGAGAGAAAAACATATATACCAAAAACCCATCGTCATCATACCGTCCGTCTATACAGGCCCCGAGCCGTCCCTTCTCTTTGCGGACTCGACCCGACGGCGGACACACAAAACAAGGCAGAATCGCCCTCTCTCCAATCTTTCACTCTCTTTCCCGTCTGTCCGTTCGTCCTCCTCCTCGCTGAAAAAGGGGCGAGGCGACACACCCAACAACGCCAACCATCCCTCACCGGCCGCAGCGCAACGTAAGATGCCGTATACGCACGCTGACCCCATTTCGCAACCCGACGACCCCGGTGACCGGCCGCGGGCTGACCTCGAGCACCGAACCAACCCTGATAGAGTTTCTTCTTCTTCCGTTCCGAAACAAACATGGCAAGTGGCAGAGGGTACCCTGTCAAGGGTAGGCTTCCCTACCGCCCTTGCACGCTGCCCGGCCATGTTATTGAGCGTAGCCTCCCTGAGGCCCGTATAGCCTCTGTCGTTTCTCTGGCCGATCCTCGACAGCCATGCCGTCCGGCACACGCATCTGCTGCTGCATCTGGGGCGGCAGGCCCTGCGTCGGGAATGTCGCGCGCTGGGCGGACGTTGGCGTGATGACCATCTGTTGCGGGTTGCCCATGGCGTATCCCGGCTCCATCGTGGCCACGTGGGGTGACTGCTGGTGGATCTGCCCAGGCGAGTGCCATGAGGTCGTCGTCGCCGGAGACTGGCTCGGCGTGTCGACGCGGACTTGGGGAGGCAGACCCATCGTTCCCATCTGCGCGCTGCCGGGACCCACAGGTATGTCGTCGATTGGAGGCGCGTTCTTCATAAGATGCGCGACGTGCTTTCGCAGGATACGCAGCATGCCGTCTTTGGTAAAGGGCTTGGCCAAAACATCGTTCAAACCTGTGAAGGAAGGGAAAAGTCATGTCAGCAATGCAGTCCCGCGGTGATGTTGCTACTACTGATGGGCAACTTACTCCAGTTGAAATAGTGACTGATATCTTCCGGGCGAATGTTCGACGTCATGGCGACCACGGGCACATCGGGGTGCACCTCACGGATCAATTGCGTTGCCGAGACACCGTCCATGTGAGGCATGACAATGTCCATGAAGATCAGATCGAAATACCCAGCACCGACCTCCTTTGCACTTGTTGACAGCGTCGATACCGTTTTCCTGGTGGACAGAGTCAGCAACCTGCTTCCTACACAACAGCTGTGAAGTCCCTGTACCATACCGCAACCTCTACCTGGCACTCCATCTGCGACAAAGAACTTAGCTCCTATCCTCGAGCACGTCCTATCATCCTCGACAAGGTAGACACGCGGCTTCTTCGACCCCCACAGCGAGTTATCCTGCGGTGGTGCTGCCCTGCCAGCAGGGCCTGGCGGCGCCGGCGTGGCACCGCCTGGTGGGTTCGGCGTTGCCGGGCCCGGCTCCTGCTTGACCATGGTCTGGTTCGGGTAGTCGTTGGTGAGGGTCGGCAACGAGTTGAGGGTGTACGGAATGTTGTTGAAGTGGTCTTGCGACAAGGGATCGATGCCGACGTTTTCGCCAACAGGGTAGACGAGATGACGCATGTTGACGTGGTCGGCCATCATGGGGGGCATCGAGCCGGGCTGGAACATGAGGGACGACGCCGAGTCGGGCGGCGAGCTCTGGGCGTACATGCCGTTGAGGCGCTCAAAGTCGCGTTCGACCATCGAGTTTGTCGTCACCGTTGACAGAAGCTCGCGGGCGCGGCGCAACTCGGGCGCCTGCTCATCCATGGTGCCGCCGTTCATGTGGGCCGCAGCCTGGTTCGGATACCTACCGGTGCGCCATCGCTCGTCAGGGCTGGAGAGGAAGTTTAGAAGCTCATGGGTTGACTGCCTCTGTACGTCAATGGTCTTCTGCAGCGAGTGAACCTCATGCACGAGCGTCTTATTGGCGCGTGAGAGCTCAACAAACTGCTCCTGCAGGGCTTGGACCTGCTGCTGTTGAGCGAAGAGTGTCTCCTGGAGCAGGTTGATGGACTGGTTGGTAGTGAAGGAGTCTTCTGTCGGTTGGGCCTTGCGTTGGGCGGGCGCCTTGCGCCTGATGTTATCGAGGTTGTCTTTCCTGTCCGCTCGAAACGCAGCATGCTTGAATTCCCAGGCCTGAAGACATGGTCAGCGATCGCATGCTCCCAAGTGGACAGCGCCAAGCCCTCTCTCTCTCTCTCTGCTCACCTGTTTGCCGTAAGGCGACTCATTGTTCTCGTCGTTTCGTCGAAGTTTGTGAAAGTCATATTTATTCAGCTGGCGTACAAAGCTCGACCCCACCACAAAACTTAAAGTGCTTGGGCAGGATATCCTTCGTGAACTTGTCCGTCTATGATGGGGTTAGCGCACTACAAAGCAAGGCAGACAGCCAGGGGCCGAGTCTATGCGATATACCTCTAGGATGACAAAGGTGTCGCCCTCGTTTCCCCATCTCACAATGTTCGCGTATGCAGGGTCCTCGAGCATCCTGTGATGGTTAGCGGCCGCCGAGAGGCCATCCTCGTGAGAAGGACGGCAGGGTGGACGAACTTGTAGAGCTTGCGAACCTGCAGCATTCACTGTTAGCAAAAGACTCCGCCATGCGCAACACGATGGGGGAGGTTGATTTGGGGCCAACGTACAAAGTCACTAGAGTTGTTCCCGCCCTGTGCGGCGCCATCACCTTCGGGAGGCATGATGCGTTCTCTGGCGGGAAGCGAAGTCTGGGTCGTTCTCGCGCACTTCGGGTCGCGGCGCAAGGGGGGACGCGAGCGACAAAAGCCCGGTTGGTCGGTTGGTCGAAGGTCGCGACAAGACGTGCGAGCGATGCTCCGAAGAAGGTCTGGGTCCTCAGAGCTTCAGGGTCTGGGTCGTTGAGCTGTGCGGTGCTGTCTGCGAGTGGATGGAGTCGTCAATCGTCGTCGAAATGAGGGTCAGGGTCTCGGTCTCCTAGCCTCCACCGAGAGAGGTTTCCAAGTAGCCAACGTGCTACAGTACCTATGCTTGTATCGGCAGCAAGCAAGGCGCGCGGCGGGTAGGGTGGGAGGAGAAGGAAGAATGCGGGCGGCTGGTGCAGAGGCGGACTGGGCAATTCGCTAGCAATGCATTCCTCGCCAGGCCGATGTGGGTATGTCGAGGCGAAGCGGACCGCAGGTGTATTGGGGACTGGCGCGGATGAGACGAAGAGTGTGCCCACAGGTGTGTCGTTTCCAGACTGAAGGGAAACGGACGCGCGAGAGGCGGGTGTAGCGAACAAGACAAGATTCGGCCGACAGACGTGGTAGGGTAGGAGAGATAGCGGCGCTTGGTGGGTGGGTGGATGGATGGAGGGATGGGCAGCGGCAAGCAGGCGGCAGGATCGTTCGCTGTGGTAAGGTACCTTACCTACTAGGTAAGGTGGTAGGTACCTAGGTAGTCAGCAGCAAGTAGCAAAGCCGTAGCAAAGCAGGCTCTCAGACCCTGGCACTGACGCCGGGGTTTTTTGCTTCGAAACTGGAGACCAGGTGGAAAGGAATGACCTGCAAGTGGAATTGGCGGGTTCGGATGAATGGTGATCCTTCTCTCTCTCTCTCTCTCTCTCTCTCTCTCTCTCTCTCTCTCTCTCTCTCTCTGTCTGCCTCTTTCGGCTACTCTTCTTGCAGGTGGACCGTCCCTCGTGCTTCCGCGGTTTCGTGCTTTCTCGTGTTAGGGTGTTGTGTGTGCTGTCGATGTATATGCCTTAGCTGCCTTGTGACCCTTGCTCGACCCTCTTTCTCTCTGTCTGTCTGTCTGTCTGTCTGTCTCTTTTCCTGTCTCTCTCTCTCTCGCTCGCTCGCTCTTCTCGACTCGACTCGACTCGAAGTGGAGCGACCAAGGTACGCGTGACGGGGAGGGGGGGGGATACGGGGTTCAATGTCGATAGGACAAGAGTCGAGAGGGCCGAGAGACAAGACATGATGGTCGCCCTTACACCCTCGCACTGGGAGGGGACCCCCAAAAGCGCGGAGGGGGGGGGGGGGGGGACTAGCAGGCCCGGTGGAATTGGGTGAGGAGACGACGAGACATGGAGTAGGCAGTGGCTGAGATCGATTGCTGCGCCGTGCCCCCAGGCGAGGGAAAATCTCTGGGGATTGGGACCCGGTTTCCGAGACACCGATTGGCTCACGATCGAGGATGGGCTCTGAGAAGAGTGGGGGATCACAGTGCTCGACCAATGTCTGGTCCGTGCCAGAGAGGCCCCGGGAGCACTGTCATGGCATCTCCTTTCCAGATCTTGGTACAGCGCACTCATGCACCCTCGACTCCCTGAGTCCGCCTGCGAACTACGTACGTACCTATCGCGTTCTTCAGGTACCTCCTCGCCGTCAGGTAGCCACATCACCCAAGGAAGCAGGGCCCTGTGGTTCGCCTTGGCTTGGCCCGCCTTGGCTCTTCAAATGCTGGCTCTCAAACGCCCTGTCCTGTGCCCTCCACGAGATATACACCTCCTCACCAGATAGGTACCTACCTGTAGGCGGGCAAGGTAGGTAGGGTCGGTTTCTGGCCTTCATCAATCTCAGTACCTCGGGGCACCAGTTCACGAACCCCCCCCCCCCCCCACCCCCGTCGTCCCCTCCCTTCCTCCCTTCCTCCCTCCTCCCTCCTCCATGGTGGCGCCGGGGACGTGATGGATGGCGAGAAAATGCGAGAAAATTTGCCGTGGAAAAAAAAAAAAAAAAAAAAAAAAAAAAAAAAACTCCCTGCACCCATCCCATCACATCCCCTATTCACCCAGTCAGTCCCTCCTACATCCCAAAAACCCATCCTCTCTCTCTTAAGCCCAGTCTCAGGGCACGTCCCGCCCACGGGGTACGCCGCAATGGGCCCTGCATGGAAGGGATGGAGACGAGTACAACTTGATCTCTGAATCGTGAGACTTTTTCGCTTCCCATGTGAGATGAGATCCCGGCCCCCTCCCCCTCTCTCCAGGGTCTGTATCTTGTCGTCTTGTCTTGCTGTCTAGCGCCAGGTGTGTCTGGTGTCTAAGGCGCCCAGCGTGTGCCAGCTCGATCTCAATGTCTGACTGAACCCTCTCCATCGCTGGCCGTCTTGGGATTAGGACGTAGCCAGACTCTATTGATGCCTCTGCTCCGAGTAATCAGCCTTGCTATTGTCCCAGCCGAAACCAAAACCGCTTTCCGACTCCCGAGCGATCCAACCCGTCGCAGCGCTGCTGCCCTGTCTGGTCATGGTCATGGTCATGCCCCGGAGTTACATCATCTTGCTCCGGACCAGCATGCAACCCCCCCGGCCCCAAAATGGAGCGGGAAACATGGCAAGCGCTCAACCCGCTACAGTAGTCCATCCCAACAGGTGAAAAGATCGACCCTTGTGGCTGGCGGACTTGCGCGCTGTTCACCTGGTTTGCCTGGCAAGCCTGGTTCCTGCTTGCCTTTCCAGGACATTGGGGGGGTCCTATACGTGAGAATGTGGAGGTTTGCCAGACGTCCTCGCCGTTTTGGTGAGACCGGTTGACCGCCAGCCGGGCACTAAACTGAACATGGCTTGGACGATACCAAGCCCAATATCCCAGACAAGCCTGGAGGTAGCAGACTTTTTTTTTTCCTTTCCTTTGGCCCTTCCTCTGTTGTTGCTGCCCGCTGTCCGATTTTTTTTTTTTTTTTGTTTTAGCCGGCGCACATACGTACACAGATGCCCACAATGGGCAGGTCGTCAGTTGGTTGCTCTGGATCGTGCCTCGTACCTCGCCTAGTACCTAGGTAGGTCAGCGATGCGACGATGGTCAGGCACCCCCTGAACGCCTTTTTTTTCATTTTCCTTCTTCTCCCATTTCCTACCTTGCCTTATTTTCAGCTGCCACTGAACTCCGATATATCTCGGCACTGCGCTCTTCTCTGCCTCGTTCTCCATCTCGCTCGCTATCACGGTTCATGCACCCTTGAGCTCATGGAAATGTTCAGGGGCGACATGATACCTCTCAGGCCTCGAGGTGGAACAAGCGACAGGGGCCCAGGGCAAAGGTCAACAACACCACGTCAACAAGGCAGCTGATCGGCCACTGGTGCCAAGCCGAATGCAGGCTGGTGCGTTGTTCACAGGAAGTATGACGCCATCAGTACATACCATACCGCCTGCCGACCCAGCGTGCCTGGTTTGTCCGTCTTGCACACTTCACTCTCTCTCTCTCAGCCCCATCTTTCCCCCCTCCTCGAGCTTTCGAGGTCGAGCCGTCCCCCGCTTCACCCGATCGGACCGGGCCACCTTTGGCCGGAACCGGCCTCGAACACAAAACCAAGCCACCAGGGCCCCGAGAGTCGTCGCCCGGGTCGGTCTTTAGGGGTCCAGGACCTAGACCGCCCAATTTTCTTCTCCACTTCATCCGTGTCTTCGACGCCGCGACCGTCGTTCGCGCTTGGGCCTGTCGGATGCTGCTTCCTCTCGACTGATGCTGTGATTGATGATTGCGATAAAGACGGACAGCTCCCGTGCCGCCCTTCATTTGGGCACGCACCTATGCGTACATTAATGGTTTCCTCGTAGTACACATGTGATGTGATGAGATGTGTCATTCAGCACGCATCGAGCGATGTCTTGGCTATCCAATCGAAGCTGTATCTTGCTGTTGCAAGGGGGAACAAGGCCGAATTTGCATCTTTAAACAGCATGGCGTAGAGGCAGACACAACCTCGCTTGAGGGTGACTCACGATGAGGTTGGTGGATGCCAATTGAGGTCGGAACGGCCGCTTCCCGCCAACAGGCCTTGACGCGTATCCTGGCTGTCGAAGTCATGATGATGGATGTTTCATCAGCTGACAATGTCGCCACAGTATGACTATACCCTAGGGCATCATTTCATTAGGTTCCTGACGACTAGAGCGTCATGTTCTTAGCTGCCAGCCCGACTTGATGCAAGAATACATGTGCCGCCAGATCGCCCCATGGTAGAGCTCTGTGTCACAAGCAGGCTTGCCAAAGGCTGCATTGATACACACGGGCAACGAAGCCCGAACTGTGAAGGCGAAGAAATAGAGCAGACAGGGACATGCACCCCATGGCCAGAGACGGCGAAGTATTGAAAATGCAATCCTGTAGTGTCTCGTGATGAGTGAATCGAAGGTACTCAGGCTGGGGATTTTACCAAGAGATGCAATGGTACTTATGAACGGACAACAATCTACGTACACACTTCAAGTGCAAGCTGGGCCTGTGTGCAGCTGATATCTGGACGAAGTCATCAAATGGGGGTCGAGAGGTGTGAAACGATCAGGAGGCACAAACTTGGCAGGCTGGCGGGCTGACGACCTATGGGATTTTAAAGATTGCACTTCAAGATACTGGAGTCATGTCGGTTTTAAGAAAACAGTCTCGCCGAAGCGCAAGAAATTTACTCAGATTACGGCCCTGGGGCGACACGTACTAGTATCATTGGCTTGTTGGTTGTGTTTGCACCATGATGATCTCAATCGGGACGCATCATTCGGTTCTCTTCAATTTTCTATTTAGGGAGGCCTGCCTCCTAGCCAATGACCGACAGTCGTGTATTTCCTCGACATAGCCAACAAACCAATGACACCTCCTTTTCTCAAAGAACTGCCATGGGCTTTGCGCAAGCTATATAGCCTATTGTCGTACTTGTGCAGCTCCAGCTCTTGATGAGCGGGCCTGGCTTGGCAGTGTCGATCCTCCTGCAACGCTTGCGCAGCCCTCTTCCTTCGAAACCAGTTACTGAAAGTTGGTGGACAGTATAGGCTCGAGGCTTCTGAGAAAAGAGCTTGCTGCGGCACAGGGCAAGTAATAAAGAGTCACTCTCCCACAATCTCTCGAGTCCATGTCGACTCAAACCTCCCGCATTGCAAAGCGTATTCATGCGAATAGTTCTAGCTGTACTCGCTCGTTAGTTTTTACCGTCGGCAATGCGATTCTTGTTCTTTACCATTTCGCTGCTGGTCAGCGGTGCCGTCAGCGCTTTGCTGCCTGATCAGAAGGGGTTGCAACTTTTGAGCAGGGAATGCAAGAGGACTTTGTGCCTTACTGTTGTAAATGGATATCGGATGGGGACTCGGGCATGCACTGCGAAGGTACGTTATGTTCGATTCATGGGACATACTTGGCAAGTAGTTATTGATTGCGCAATGCTTGACTTCGGGACCTGGAGAAGTACCCTCTCTTGATGATTGCGCCGGTTTCGATCCACCAGCATTCCCTTGTTGTTGAAGGAAAGATGTGAGTTTGATTGCCCTGCTCTACCTTCTTGCCAATGTGCTTGATATGCTGACAGAAACCGGCCCTCGAAGGGGAAACGTTTTCCCAAAAGGCTTTTCCACATGTTCAATTTGTCGCTGTACACGCAACTATCTTGGTACACCTAGGCAGCGTCTCAAAAATGGCACATCGCTGTCAACCATTAATTGTTTTGAGTTGCCGTCAAGCACCAAACCCAGTTTTACACTCCTCAATCTCGCCACCAGACCAAACTAGCATCGTGAAGATCTTATTGCATCGTCACGGCCCGGGACAATATGCCCACTTTGAAATATTGCACCGGCCAGATACGCGTTGTAAGTTCGCTCTGTGGGTTTTATAACTTGAACACTCGCCCGTCGTCGATTTCAATTACGTATTCCAAGTCAGCTATACTTGCGTTGTCCCCAGGAGCACCGAGCTTTACACTCCAATACCTTCAAACAGATCTCATGATCAGTCTAGAAGGCGTGTTTGATGCTGCGTCTGGGTGTGTGTCTCAAACTACAAGAGAACGAAATTCGAGAGCATTCGAATGCTGAAGCACCAGATACATGCGCCATTGTAAATCGCTTGGACGAAGTTGCACACCAAAATGTTGTATGCCTAGGGCAATGGGCACATGGACGCAGAGCAAAATCATGCTGACGGTGCCAGCATAGATGATTAAAGACAAAAAGGTAGCTCTTTACTGACTGTCGATGATGAACATCAAAACAATAGCTTGATCTGTAGTGGACAGCCCATGTAGTTGTTTGCTCGTGGACTCGCTCAACGCCTACCTGCTGCCTGGTACTGCGGGAGCACCTCAGGACTGCCTCGTGTGAACTGGGCTGTGGCTGCATGACTAATCACCCCTTCCACTGTACGCGTGGGAACGCGGTCAGGACGCGACAAGAATGCCATCTTCCCAGGTGCACCACCCCACATGCTAATCCACCCCTACAGATCGCAAATCAATTGCAGTCGACAATCTGCAATCTTTCTTGCCCAGCAGTTCACACACTAGACCTCGATATGCCTCATTCTGTTTCGCCAAAATTGAACACTGCCTCTGAGCAGAACACGCAAGAGACGATGGCCGAACCTTTCCCTGGCACCGCCGAAACCCAGTCGACCGAGGGAGACGTGTCGATGGCTGACGTGACCGAAGACGCCGTCGCTGTCCCGGCAGTCAAGGCGGAAACAAAACTAGAGGAGCTGTTTGACGACATGGATTCAGACGAGGAATTCCCGAGTTCGCGACCGAATGGTGCGCCGCCCCCTAGCTCGCCGCCTCTTGCGACACCACAATATCCTTCGTGAGTATCGACGCGACCCTGGCCATGGGGGCGACAGCTGACACCGATCTAGAGATATTGCCGGTATGAAGGCATCAGACCCAGAGATCATGAAGCTCTTCTATCAGCGCCTGTTTCCCTGGAGGCAACTCTTCCAGTGGCTCAACCATAGTCCGACGCCTACGAATGACTTTGCCCATCGCGAGTTCGCCTTCACGCTGCAGAACGACGCATACCTGCGATATCAGTCTTTCCCCTCCCACGACCTGTTAGTGACCATGGATGTCCTGCACAGGCTTGAATCCTGCTGACCATTGGACCTTGCAGCCTCCGTAAGGACGTTCTCCGCCTGATGCCGTCTCGATTCGAAATCGGCCCCGTCTACACCACCAACCCCCGAGACCGCAAAACCCTTCGTAGCTCGAGTGCCTTCAAACCGCTGGCCAAGGAGTTGTGTTTCGATATCGATTTGACGGACTATGATGACATTCGAACGTGCTGCGACAAGGCCAACATCTGCATCAAGTGCTGGCAGTTCATCACCATGGCAATCAAGGTCGTCGACGTTGCGCTGCGGGACGATTTCGGGTTTAAGCACATCATGTGGGTGTACTCCGGAAGGAGAGGTGCTCACGCCTGGGTGTGCGACAAGAAGGCAAGGACAATGCCGGACCAGATGAGGAGGGCGATTGCCGGGTATCTGGAGGTTATCAAGGGTGGCGCGCAAAACTCCAAGAAGGTCAACCTCTGGAGGCCATTACACCCCCATCTGACGTAAGTCTACCTGCTTCTGAAGCCCTTCCCCCCTGGCATCAGTACTGATGTGCAACAGGCGGAGTCTGGAAACTCTCAAGACCCATTTCCAGGAAGACGTTCTCGAAACCCAAGACCCATGGGCGACTGCCGAGCGCGCTGAACGACTCCTGCAGCTTCTCCCCGACAAGAACCTGAATGAAGCCCTCCGCAAGAAGTGGGATGCCTCACCAGGCCGCTCCTCCACTTCCAAGTGGGCCGATATCGACACTGTCGCCCGTAGCGGCGCGAGCAAGAGTCTCGACGCGCGGGCGCTGAGGGAAGCGAAACAGGACATCGTCCTCGAATACACATACCCACGCCTCGATATCGAGGTTTCAAAGAAACTGAACCATTTGCTCAAGTCGCCCTTTGTCGTCCACCCCGGCACCGGCCGCGTTTGTGTGCCTATCGACACAAAGGCGCTCGAAGAGTTTGACCCCACGACAGTCCCGACGGTCCAGCAGCTTCTGTCAGAGATTGACGAATGGAAGGCTGATGAGGAGGAGCCAGAGGCGCCACAGAAAAGCGTGCAGGATTGGGAGAAGACAAGTCTCAAGCCGTACATTGACCATTTCCGATCATTTGTAGCAGGACTCATCAAGGACGAAAAGGATATCAAGGTGAAGAGGGAGCGTGACGAGGAGTCCATGGACTTTTAGTAGGCTGGCTGGCAGCGTATGAATGTATGACTGGGTATTATCGAGTGTAATTTTTTAGGCGGCTTCAATGCGATGCATACATGGCTGGGCATTATTCTCTTTTCCCGCACCTTGTCTAAGTGGCAGATACAGGCGCATTAGCGGCAGTGTCAGTATCTACCTGCATCTCGTCGCTCTCTGGGGCGCCGTTGTTGCCAAGCTTGTCTTCGGTCGTTGTCTGGTCCTCTTCGCCATGCTCGTCATCATCCTCTTCATCGTCCAGTTTGTTGTCATCAAGGTCAGCACCGGTGGTGTCACCCTCCTCCGCCGAGCCCCTGAGCTTGCCACCTTTTCTCTTGGGAATGACCTCGAGAAACGCCTTGCCCCAATCGCCGGTCTCCAGCCACTTGAGCATGATTTCACAACGTGATTTGTGGCCAGGACGCGGCGACTCGCCATCTCCAGGTATTCCCCAATAGGCAGCTTTGCCGTACGGATACCCTTCTCTCTCGCGCGCCTGTGGCACAAGCCCTTTTCGCGGTTACGGTCCACAAGACCGCCGATGATGTAGCTTGTGTTTGGCTCGAGGCGGTCCAGCGTGTTCGGCGACTCGGCAGACAGATAGACGATCGACTTGAGGTCTTCTGCAGGCTCAGGCTCGGCCTCGGCCTGTGGTGTCGCGTCGGCCTCGTCCCTAAACAGCGCCGGCTTGGCACCCTCTCTCGGCTTGAGCACATCGATCAACTGACCGCCGTCGGGTCCCTTCATTTCCTGCTCCGCCGCCTTCGCCGCCTCGATGTAGTCACCCTCCATCAGTTTGACGCCCTTCCAGTGCAGGTGCTGGTTGGCCAGCGTCGTCTCGAACCTCTCCTTCATCATGCCCTTGTACGAGCTGATGTAGAGGTGCGACTGATACCGCGCGCGCCTGTTGTCGCTGTAGCAGCGTGTGACCTGGCTCGACAGGGAGATGCGCTCGCTCTCGAGCATGTACTCTTCAAAGTCGCAGTCGACGACGAGGGCGACGGGGACGCGCACGGCAGGCTCGGGCTTGGCGGGCTTCTGGAAGAGGGTGGAGGGGTCGACGCCCTTGGCCTTGGCTTCGGCGATGAGGGCCTGCTTGTCCTCGCGCTTGCGAACGGCGCGGTCGTGGCGCTTCTCCTTGCGCTTGCGCTTGCGGTCGTCGCGGGCATCCTCCCACTGGGCTTTGCGCTTGAGCTTGCGCAGCTGGTTCTTGGACAGTTTGGGTTCGGGCTCGGTAGCGGTGGGCTCGGAGGCAGGGGCCGCATCGACAGTGGTTTCGGCTGAGTGGCCGCCGGTGGGGTTGGAATCGCTGACTACATGGCTGGCGGCGTTTGTGACGGGGGTGGGGGCGGGAGCGTTCTCGACAGAAGGTGTTGACTGAAGGAGAGACTCAATGGGTATAGAAGAGCTCTCAGGCTCAGCTATGGACGCATTGGCTGTGTCGGAAGTTGTGTTGTCCATCGCAGATGCCGATATCACATGAAATGGTCGAAGTGCCGTGAAGAGGAAGTGGGGGAAGCGACAAAATTTCGCCTGCGTCACAGCCCAGCTGCACGGCAGATTGAAGGCGGTCAAGGGTCCTGACCGGGACAGGACTAGCGTACTCACGTCGCGTCGTCGGTTTAATGGACATTTGGAGACGCGACGCCCCCAAAGTTCCTCGGCCTTCCAATTCAATGTTCAAGAGGCAATCATCTCCCACAAGCCGAAGACGTATCCCAATTTGGTTCCCATGCTTGTAGCCTCTCTATCCAGCCTTCTGTACATTTCCATTCACTGAGTCACAAATATGTCTTCGCGACCCGAGCTGAAGGTACGCCATCTTCAAATGATAGGCAATGGGCGATTTGCTGACTGGTTACCAGGTCGACGATGAGCATGGCTTCATTCGATACTTCAAGTCACTTCCAGAGGTTCATGAGGACACGATCCGAATATTTGACCGAGGTGATTGGTACACAGCACATGGTGAAGATGCCAACTTCATCGCGAGAACAGTACGTTGCCTACGACCCGTGAACTACCCACAGTGTACTGACGCCACCAGGTCTACAAAACCACATCAGTCGTTCGACAACTGGGACGAGATGACAAGTCCGGCCTTCCATCTGTAACCATGACTGTTACCGTTTTTCGACAATTCCTCCGAGAAGCCCTCTACAAGCTCAGCAAACGCGTGGAGATTTATCAGAGCACAAGTGGCCGCATGAACTGGAAGGTCGTCAAACAAGCTTCGCCCGGAAACCTGCAAGATGTTGAAGAAGAGCTCGGAGGACAATTCGAGGCTGCGCCTATGATCCTGGCTGTCAAGATTACAGCCAAGGCCTCCGAGGCCCGCAGCGTCGGTGTCTGCTTCGCCGACGCCAGCGTGCGAGAACTGGGTGTCAGCGAATTCCTCGACAATGACCTCTACTCAAACTTCGAGGCTCTCTTGATTCAGCTCGGTGTCCGGGAGTGTCTGATTCAGGCCGACAAGGCGGAGAAGGATAAGCGAGACCCCGAACTCACCAAGCTGCGACAAATCATCGACAACTGTGGTGTAGCCGTCTCAGAGCGGTCGGCAGTCGAGTTTGGCACCAAAGACATCGAACAGGACCTCGCCCGACTGCTCAAGGACGAAAGGGCTGTCACACTTCTGCCTCAGACAGAATTGAAGCTATCCATGGGATCTGCTGCCGCACTGATCAAATACCTGGGGGTTCTACATGACCCCTCCAACTTTGGACAATACCAGTTGTACCAGCACGACTTGGCTCAATTCATGAAGCTCGATGCCGCAGCCCTCAAGGCCTTGAACCTTATGCCAGGGCCCCGAGACGGAGCGAAATCGATGAGCGTGTACGGCCTGCTCAACCACTGCAAGACCCCCAACGGCAGCCGCTTGCTGTCACAGTGGCTGAAGCAGCCTCTGATGAGCAAACAAGACATCGAAAAGCGCCAGCAGCTGGTGGAGGCCTTCGCCAGCGACACCGAGCTCCGTCAAACCATGCAGGAGGAGCACCTGCGTTCAGTCCCTGATCTTTACCGTCTTGCGAAGCGTTTCCAACGGAAGAAGGCCAACCTGGAAGATGTCGTTCGGGCGTACCAGGTCATCATTCGCCTGCCTGGCTTCCTCGGCACCTTGGAGGGTGTGATGGACGAGGCGTACCGGGACCCTCTGGATGAGGCATACACCTCCAAGCTCCGCACTCTCTCCGACAGCCTTGTCAAGCTTCAGGAAATGGTCGAGACCACGGTCGATCTGGACGCCCTTGATCGCCATGAGTACGTCATCAAGCCTGAATTTGATGACAGTCTACGCATCATCCGCAAAAAACTTGACAAGGCCAAGAGAGATATTGATCAGGAGTTCAACAAGGCCGCCCACGATCTTGGACAGGAGAAGGAGAAGAAGATATTCCTTGAAAACCACAAAGTCCACGGGTACTGCATGCGACTCACGAGGACCGAAGCTGGTTGTATACGCAACAAGTCAGGCTATCAGGAATGCTCGACACAGAAGAACGGCGTGTACTTCACGACCAGGAACCTGCAGAACCTACGCCGCGAATTCGACCAGCAGTCGCAAAACTACAACAGAACCCAGGCTAGCTTGGTTAACGAGGTTGTTGGTGTTGCGGCCTCGTACTGCCCTGTTCTCGAGAAACTTGCTGCTGTCCTTGCTCACCTTGATGTCATCATCTCCTTTGCCCACTGCTCAGTTCACGCGCCGATCGAGTACGTCCGGCCGAAGATGCACAAACGGGGCGAGGGCCAGACAGTGCTGAAAGAGGCACGTCACCCTTGTTTGGAGATGCAGGATGATGTGCAGTTTATCACCAACGACGTGGAGCTCACGAAGGACAAGTCCTCCTTCCTCATCATCACCGGACCCAACATGGGCGGAAAGTCGACGTACATCCGCCAGATTGGCGTCATCGCCCTCATGGCGCAGGTCGGCTGCTTCGTTCCCTGTGCGGAGGCTGAGATGACCATCTTCGACTCCATCCTGGCTCGTGTCGGTGCGAGCGACTCCCAGCTCAAGGGCGTCTCCACCTTCATGGCCGAGATGCTCGAGACGGCCAACATTCTCAAGTCCGCGACGGCCGAGTCCCTTATCATCATCGATGAGCTCGGTCGCGGCACGTCGACCTATGACGGCTTCGGCCTAGCCTGGGCCATTTCAGAGCACATTGTCAAGGAGATTGGCTGCTCCGCCATGTTCGCGACGCACTTCCACGAGCTCACGGCGCTGGCCGACCAGCATGCCCAAGTGAAGAACCTCCACGTCACGGCGCACATTAGCGGAAGCGAAGAAGGCGACGCCAAGCGCGAGGTGACGTTGCTGTACAAGGTCGAAGACGGCATCTGCGACCAAAGCTTCGGCATCCACGTCGCCGAGCTCGTGCGCTTCCCGGACAAGGTCGTACGCATGGCGAAGCGCAAGGCGGACGAGCTTGAGGACTTTACGACCAAGCACGAAGACCTCGGGCTCAAGTACAACAAGAGCGACGTCGAAGAGGGCAGCGCCATGCTCAAGGATGTGCTCGTTCGGTGGAAGGATGAGGTCAAGGGCGGCGCAATGAGCAAGCAAGACATGGTCAAGAAGATGAGAGAGCTGGTCGCGTCAGACGAGAAGCTGTTGGCGAATCCCTTCTTTCAGTCGGTCAAGCTTCTGTAGGGGGTATGTAAATATGTTGGCGGGTACTGGCCAGGCGGCGTTGGGGCTATTCACAATTGGGACGGGTTGCATGACAATATTGTACGGAATTAGGTACTGTCTAGGCGTTGCACGTTGCACATTTATCTGAGAGGACTTGCTCGTCATCATGCTTGTATTATCTTGTATTCGCTGCCACAAGCCGACTTTCTCCTCCATCGCGGGTAGTGCTGGTCACAACGCCACTAACCTCTCCTATATCCTCGATTAGCTCGAGATCCTATTCAGCAAATTCACAATAATGAATGGAAAATATGCAATGTCAGAAAAGAGATAGAACGGTGGGTGGTATAATCATAGAGATCATAAACAGCCTCTGAAGCTAAGGTTTTCATCATGAAAAGCAGTGACGTTCAGACAGAGGTCGTACCTGTATGCCAAGTCAGTCGATGTCGCTTCTCGAGCGGCCATGAAAGATGATGAAGGAGGGTAGGGTCAGAAAAGAGATAGAACGGTGGTTGTTATAATCATGAAATCATAAACAGCCTCTGAAGCTAGATTTCCATCATGTCATGATGCGGGGAAGAACAGTCGGCTGGATGGAGCAATACCTGCGTCTCCAGTTAGTAACAAACTTTCGAACGAATCCTCAAAGACAAATGGTAAGATGTGGGATGGTTCAGAAAATGATAGAACGGTGATTGTTATAATCATGGAGATCATAAACAGCCTCTGAAGCTAAGATTTTCATCATGAAATCGGAAAGAACTTGTCGAGCTTTACGTACCTTTTCTCTGGTTAGCGATGAGCTTCGATAGCAAGAAGGTCAAGTGAGAGAAGTGGGAGAAGGGATCAGAAAAAAGATAGAACGGTGATTGGTATAATCAAGTAGATCATAAACAGCCTCTGAAGCTAGGATTTCATCACGCAAGGGTAGGGAAGTGGGTTAAAGCATCTGACAACGTACCTTTTGTTTAAAGTGTGAGCAGCAGCAGCAGCAGCAGCAGCAGCATCGCCGATCGACAGATCAGACACGCACGTCACATGCAGCGAAGCCCTCCAAAGAGAGAGCATCGGGCTGGAAAATAATACAGCTCTCCGTTTGGTGTTCTAGCAGACGAACTCCCTTCCTTGGTCCGCCTGCGATGCACCCCCAGCGGCAGGCTCGTGTGGTATGTACAACAACAAATGGAAACGCTCGCTTGCCCGTAGGTCGTCTGTCCCTTCCCTTCCACTCGGTCACCAGTCTACTCGACTGTCGCCTTGACGGGGTTGATCTCGACGCCGTACTTCGCCTGCAGGCGCTCGCGCCTCCGCTCATCGTAGCCCTCGGTCTTGAGTTCTGCATGGTGTCAACATTGTAAAGAGTGGTGTGAGCGGCTGTGCCTGCTCCCGGAACCATGCGCCGTTCAGCCGGCAGGAAAGAACGCACCTCGCCTTTCGCCGAGCTCAGCGATCGTCTCCTCAATCGGCCTCCTCCTGTTGGCGCGCAGAGCCAGCTTTCGCTCAAACTCGTCTTCCTCGGGGCGCTCGGCCCAGCCACGCAGGCGAGCGCCGGTGAAGTCGAAAACACCCATGGTTGCCGACACCAAGGCGCCAACACCGAGGACGGTAGGCATCCTTTTCCCTAGAAGCGCGTCAATAAGGTCCTCACTCAGGCTTCGTATCTCGGTAGACGAGGTCACGCACTGGTCATGCCGAGGATGGAACCAGCAACGAAGCCGCCAATGGCCGAGTTCCAAGGGTCATTCTTGTGCCTCAGGTTGGCGCTCGCGGTCTTTGTGAACTCGTAGGCACCGCCGCCGAGAGCTAGATACGAAGA